GGAATTCCCTACTTATTCTTTGTTCCTGTACTGTACTTCCAACTTCTCCTCAAAGTTTGGACAATGTACTCTCTTTGAAGGTCTCTTTCTTGGTCTATCATTTTGTTACGAAAGATTTAAGCACACAGAAAAGTTGACAGAATTATGCAGCAAAGCCACTACCTATCACCTAGATTCTGCAACTCACTTTTGTGCTATGAGGAGCATAGCACATAGCTATCCACTTGTTCACCCCTCCACCGACCTTACTGTCTTGATTATGTACTTCAATGTAAGTCATAGACACCAGTACACTTTGCTCTCAAAACTTCAGCATGATATGAATAGATAGAATTTAAACTCAATTACTTAAAATTTTTTTGAAAAAAGAAGACTTTTAAGGAGGTGAGAATGTTCATTATATGGTCATTGCACATTGTATACATGTATGGAGTTATCACACTCTACCCTGGAAATATAAACAATTAACCATTCTTTTGGGAAAATCTGCCATTACCTTTTTTCCTTGCCTGTTGCTTCCACTGGATTGAAGTGATTGTACACTATTGATTTTCTAGAAGTGCCTCACATGTAGGAGAAACTAAATTTATTTGTTAATTTGTTACGCTAAGTTAAATGAATTTCATCAGATATTACTTTCATTTATTTCTTCATCTATAGAGTACAGTAATTTTGCCAGTGCTTTGATTCATCCCCTTATTCTTCTCCAGGAAATCTGTAGAAAGAAACTTCCGTTCTTCCTGTTTAACATCGTAGGCAATTAATAATTTTAATTAGTTAATGATAGTAGACATGCTGACTCTCACACTGTGTTTCTACAGAGCTCCACAAGGTGGCGCCTAAATATCTTTCTAGACCAACAGTCTCTGAAGATGCCTGGTCAATCTTTGTTAGTATTTGGCCTTTCTGAATTTGGTCAGTCAGCCTAAAAGAAAATATATAGCTAAGAAAAAGTTACCAATAGTAAATAAAATTATGCATGTGTAAGTTGAGAATCTATAGTTCTGGACATGAACACTAAATAATGATTATAATAAGTAACTTTTATTTGTGTAGAGTTAAAAATTTTTTTTTCATATCTCCACATAGTAAAAAAGTGAAAATAATTTACTATGCATTCATTTTACTGTGAACTTTGTCCATGAATAATTTGTTTTTACCACACAGTTCAAAAGGACAAAAGAAACAAACTACTGAATAGGAGAAATTACATGATTTAGATGTAACTCAAAAAAGGGTGACTATTATCTTAATCAGGGACAATGTTGTGCTAATTAGTATTATAATAAGACTATGGGATAATAAGTAACTTAATATTCTTTAAATATTTTTGTTCTAGGAATCTGTTGTTTATTTGTGTTTGTTTTTTTTTTGGTCTTTTTGGGACAGGGTCTTGCTATGCCGTTCAGGCTGGCCTTGAGCTTACTTTGTAACCCAGGCTGGTCTTGAACACACAACGATCCTCTTGCCTCTGCCTCCTGAGTGCTGGGATTACAGCCATGCACCACCACACCGGCTTGTTAATTGTTTAAAAACCTTCGTTTTTGGTATTTTTATTAAATTTCAAATACCCTGACTAGAAAATTCAAATGGCTGTGGAGCTTCTCGAAAGTCATGCAAATGAGGAACCTACCTACATTACTGGCTGTTCCAGTCAGATGTCGATAACATGGACCTCAGGCACTGCAATCAGAGTAACAATCCCCAGGTGCTCAGGCAGTACTTCCTAAGCCTGGAGGAGAAAGTTCTCCCACTAATTCAGTTCTGAGAATGAGTGTTCATTGTCCCTGATAGCCCAGGCCAGGAATGAATATTTATGCAGTGAAATCTGAGACTCATAAAGAGCCATATTAAACCCATATTTTGCAAACATTAATTGTTGGCACTATACTCTTTTCTATTGCTCTAGCATCAGCCTGGATGGTACAAAAACCAGCAAACTCTTGGGGCTCACAGGAATAATGAAAGGTGTTCAGTTGATGCAAAACATCTAAATGGCCTCCCACTCTTATTCACAATTTGATATTTGGGTGGGTTTCAAAATCTGTCCTCTATATTATTAATTATGAAATGGAAGAATTAAATAAAAATTATCTTTACATTGAGTAGAGATTGAATCTCTGAGATTCAATGCTATTATTTGTCCCCAGTACAAAAAGTGTTTAAATACCAATGGGGGGGGGATTAAAGAATTCACCAAAATATGGTATAGCACCTTCTCATATCAGAAAGCCGAGTCAGCTAAGTGGAGAATAGCAAACATTTTCTCCATCAAGAGCAAGTTTAATCATGGTTTAAATAGATCTAATCTTTCTCTTTTGGTGCATGCAACATGAAAAAAATTGAGAATGTTCTATCCACTAAATGAATGGATAATCTAAATAAAAACTGAACATCCAAGCCTAAGCTATAGGCTAATATACTTTTTGATGTTCACTAGAAAAAAAAATTGTAAATTTTTCTAGCTAGTACCTTGGCTATTTTGGTGTAAAGTAATTGTTTTTAGTAAGGAATAAACAACATGGAAACAGGAAACATCAATATTAGAGGAATATTTTAGAGGAAGGAACATTTCAGTAGTTTTCAGTTTAGTACAATGAAAAGTTATGCTGTCATTGTGGTCTAGGAGACAATGTGTGTTAACATGTTACAATTACTCAAACTGGGGCCAAATGACAACATGAGATATAGAGTAAACAATATAAAAACTTGAGATACTCACTGTAAACCTAAAATCATTCAAAGAGTTTAATAAATAAGAATAACAGTAGAAAGGAATAGAGGGCATCTGGAAGGCCCAGCTCAACTGGAATTTGACGAGGGAAGGGAGGACTGCAGTCCTGCTACTCCAAACTTATGCAACACCACATTTCCTAAATGCTAATACCAACGATCATTTTCATTTCCTTATTGTCTTTGAATCTTTCTTTTTGCTGATAAATAGCACGAAAATATCATTTTCATGTTTCTCTGATTTACTGATGAAAGATGTGAGAGAATGTCCACGTTGTAGTCTTGGGGCCAAGAGCGATAATGAATCCCAGAAACTTCACAGCTTTCGAGCAAGTGTTAGAATTTCTACGCTACCAAGCTTTTAGAATGAAAACAAAACAAAATAGAACAGGGACTTCTAACAGTGAAATTTTCCAACTTGGTCAGAATGCCATGAAATTCTCCCTTCTTAGTTGGTGATGTTCTTGTCAGCAGCGTGGGAGTGACTGAAATTGGAAGAAGGAAAATGTTACACTGTGCCTTAGTCTCAGCTCAAATTTTTTTTTATTTTTTTCATTTTTTCTTCCGGTACCAGGAATCGAACTCATGACCTTGCGCCTGCCAGGCAGGCGCTTTACTGCTGAGCTAAATCCCCAGCCCCTTCTTAGCTCAAATATATCCCTTTGAAGCACATGTGAGCTGGCTTGTGACTAGTCTTCTTTTGCTTCAGGACAATAAGATTTTCTGAGTGTGTAAGTCATAACAGACTTTGAATTCTTTTTTTTTTTTCAGACTTTGACTTCTTGTGAATGACCTTGGGACCTCAAGATACTACCACTACTGAAATGGAGATTTTGACACTGATACCCAAACCAACAAAACCAATACAGAGTCCATGGTGGTGGAGTATTTTTTAAAATAGGGGACAAAAGATTTTCTAACTAGCAGTGCTCGGGAGGAGAGCAATCTGTTACATCATAGTCCTCAGGTAACTGATGGGCACTAAAAAATTGCTTCTAATAATCGTTCGAGTATGTTTACTGAGTGGTTATGCCATGCCATCCACAGTAGTAACAGTGAAAAATAGTGTGAGATCTTTTTTCAATAAAGACTTTCACAGAGCCACTCTCAGAAAAGCATGGGCTCCACATTGCCTTTTCTTAGTCATCATGCTTGTTGCACTTTTTTAATTTTCTGGGGTATTTGCAAATATGCACTAATTCAAGATCATCAGTGAGGGTGGAGATTAGAGGCTTCGGCCATTCACTTTGCTTTTCTGGGTATAATGCCTTCTATAAATAGCCTTATATAGCCTTATATAAATAGATAGAATTTAAGAGTTTCTCTGGAGTCACATCCACAATTATGCTACTTGGCACACTTGGGAATGAGAGGTTGCAAAGCTTGGGTTTAATTTATGCTCTTTGCACACTCTGGGCTGGAGGGGAACAGTAGGTAGGACGCTAACCCTGCACTTCAATCAGAACAACTCAGAACAGGAGGGCTTTAGTCTATTCCTCTCTCTAGGAATTGTCCATTCGCTTCTTAGAGACATTATTATTCTGCGAGTTGTTAATTTGCTCCAAGATAAAGAAAGTTGACTTGGAAAAAGTCACTTCCTATGCTTTGTTCCATGTCTCATGAAGTGAAAGTGTGGCTGGCATCCATGGTACATGCATGGTTATTCCCTGGGAATTTCTACTTTTACATAAACCCCTGCAAAACTTCTCCCGTTCCTCAAAAGCTCTGTGATAAAGAGACACTGGAAACATGAACATTCATGTAGGTACTATGCTTAGTTTAACGATGCAATGATTATTACAAGTGAGGCTTAAGAAGCAAACAGACCTAAGGTAAGTCGCATCCTGGCACTTGTAGCTTTAGCATGACCTGGGGAAAGTTATTGTCTCCATGTCTATAAAAGGTGAATTTTTTGTCTTTGAAACATTTTCTTTTTTTTTTTTTTTTTTTTTTTGTCTTTTTGAGATAAAATCTCATTATGCAGTTCAGGCTGGCCTTGAGCTCACTTTGTAGCCCAGGCTGGCCTCGAACTCACAGCGATCCTCCTGCCTCAGCCTCCCGAGTGCTGGGATTGTAGGCATGCACCACCATGCCCAGCTAAAAGAATTCCTAATTTTATTTTATGGGTACCAGGAATTGAACTCAGGACCTTGTGCTTGCCAGGCCTGGGCTTGTGCCACTGAGCTATATCCCCGTGAATCACTTTCATTTTCATTCATTTAATATATTTCCTTTAAAGTCTTTCAAGGTTAAGTATAGATTGGCAGGCGGTGGAGAGAAATAATGGAGCATTCTCTGTGTCCTTAAGTTGACTTCTGTCAATGGTAGCATCCTGTAGGACTCTAATGTAATATCAGGACCAAGGTGCGCGTATTGATAGTTAAGACACTGATCCTTTCTGTCACCACACAGATCCCTCGTGTCGCCCTTGGATGAACACATCACTGTTTCCCCTATACTTTTCCCCCTGTTCCTTCCAAACCCCTTTAACCACTCATCTGTTCTTCATTTCTATGATCTAAAAATGTGTTCGTGTGCACGACCAGATGAAATGGTGCATGTAAAGTACCGAGCGCAGTGCCTCGCCCTTGGTAAGTGATCACGAAATAGAGGCTATGACTGTTACAAGGAGAGAAGTCCGTAAATATTAAACTGCTTTCCTAAGAAGGCTGGTACGTGGCCTCTGTCTCAGAGGCAGCCCACCAGAAGTCTACTGGTCGGTTGTGGAAGGGTCAAGTGGTTTCTTGGCAGGACATTTTATAGCCAGGACGTTGACTTACTAAGCACTGCTACCAGAAGGCAGAAGATAGGGAAAAAGAGAGTGGAACACCTACGGCGACTTCCTTATGGCACAAAGACCTCAGAGCGTTGAACATTGTACAATTACCTCTCAGTTACACTTCCTGAGTGGGAAAGACTCCCACGGAACCTTGTGGGGAAGCAAAGCTAATCTCAGACTACCCTCTGCTGTATATTATATCAACTTCTTGCTGGGAAAAATTTCCAAAGCCACAGAAGTAGGAAGGCTAGAATAACGAACCTCTACATACTCATCATCTAGATTTTATAATTATCAACCTGTTAGTGGTCTTGAAAAGTCAGTTTTTATTCTGATTTTGGTGTCACTTTATTCCTTTACAGGGCTGTTTAGAGCTGTTATCTTAGCATAAGTTAGGAAAAGAAAAAAGAGGAATCAAAAGAGAATGACATGCCATGAGAAACAAAAACAGTGTCAATCAGTGCTTAACATGTAGACAGTTTTCTCAGGTTATTACAATAGTTACTGACACACAGACTTAGTCTGAGAGGGCACTGTGCCTTTAAGTTGCTTACTGAACCCACCCAGATCTTGCACCCTGGCCAGATGCCTGGCCACTCTTGCTTTTACTTAGTCTAAAAAACATGAATCAAAGATTGCAAAAAATCCAAAGGCAAAGACAAGTTTTATTTCCCAAGGAACAGAACAATATCTGGTAGATAACTCCATCCTTAACAGTAGTCCTTGCTATGGGCATTTGTTCAACCAGCCTTTAATTCCTGTTTGACAAACTTTATAAGGTAAGGTATATTGCTATGCTTTAATCATATAAATAAGCAAGGACCATCTAGGGTCTGTGAAAGGTTAAATGATTTATGTACTTATTATGCACAGAAAGCTTGTCAACATTTTTTATCTTTGCTATTACTTTAAATCAATTATTAGATAAATATGACTAATTGTTAAAATTATAAATCTAAATTGTATTTATTTTTAATTTATAATACTAAATTACCTGGTAGTAATGTTAATATCTTTGTGGGCATTTAAAAAAATTAGAGTAAGTTTTTATAATTTAGGGTTAATTACAGAATATAATTTGGGTAGTTTGGCAATCTGAATAAAGATTTTATTCAGTCATTTTATCTTCATCTAGAAACAAATAAGATGTAAACACTGAATAAAATTGGTAAACTCTTAATCAATATTCAATAAAATTGGTAAACTGAAAGGTAATTTTGTTTCTGAAACATTACAAAATATACTTGGGTTTATATATCCCAATATTTACCCAAAATACATTTTAGGCAAAAAAAAAAAAAAAAAAAGCAAAAATATAGCATTTGGCTAGAGATCATCATTGCTTCTGCATTAATAAAAACCAACCTATGGTAAACACAGAGGTTCACATTTCTTTTATTTAGCTAATGGTATTTTTCATCCCTTAAACCCATTTTGTTTGCACATGAAATCTAAAAGAGAGAAAGGTGAGAATTATTAAAAACAGCGGGCATGAAATCCAGTAGAAGCTGGATAGAAGGGAGTAGGCTTTCATAATGCCAAACTAATCAAGGAGGAAGAATTCAGGAAGGTATGCGAAATAAAACACTAGAGAAAAAATGTAGATGACTGTCCTTTTAATATAGAGAGGCTAAAAGGAATAGCAAGATTTTATTTTGAGAGAGCTAGGTAAAAACTGTCAGAACAGATAGTAATAAAATATAGGGTACAAGGATTATTGCTATTGGATAAATTATGTTAATGAGTATCATATATGGGGCTCAGGTATGAATTCATGATTACATGCCAACAAACCTGTGTGAGCAGGTGCTTAGTTTAAAGATGTCTTTATTTAAAACTAGAATTTCCAAAGACCTAAAAGAGGTATGCAAATGAGAAGATGATTTTCTTCTCAGGATTCTACATGGAAATCACCTTCCTTAGGTTTTTGAAGAGTTGCTGGATTTTGTAGCTTATAAAATTTCTCTGGTTCTCAATGAATTTAGTTCACTGGCTCTTATTTCTGGAACTTCAGAAATGTTCATGATGATATGAACTTAACCAAAGATAAAAATCTTGTGTAGTACCAGGGACATAGTGTCACTGATTTTTTTTCCTTTTGAAAGTATAATAACACCTGGGGTTTCCTGTCTAGCCTTATCTTTACACTGATCTTCAGAATTAAATTGTTTGTCATTTGTCTTCTCTGTGGTTAGTAAAGGGATTGCCTAAGAAAGAGTGTGTCCTTTGTGTATTCTATTTCCTTAGCACAGTTCTTTTTTTTTCTTGTAAATACCCAACTGTCTTTAGATCTTAGCATACCTGGCCTAAAGGTCAGTTGGATTTAACCAATTCACTTGATACATTTGCCAGCAGAGATGCTTGATTGTATAGCAGTGAAGTTCTCCTAAAAAACTTCCTGTTGGACAAAGTTATTTGCGGAGCAGACTATGACACAAACCCATCCACTGCTCTGTCCCCAACCCAACAGCTTTGCGTCTCTTTGGGGTTTATCCATCTGGCAAGTATGAAAGAAGTCAGTCTCCCATTTCACCCCTCATTGCCTTTGCATGTATTTCCACTCCCTACTTAAAGCCTGGAAAAATCATGCTCATGAGCTCCCTCTTCACTTTCCCTGAAGGCAAGGTGCCAAAGAAGGAAGATGTGATTCCTTTCCCAGGACTCCCAAAGTCAATATAGTTTAAGCATGAAAGCATTTCAAAATCATGCTGAATATTGGTTCAAATAAACTTTGCCCTTTCCTATTCTCTTGGGCATACTGAGCTTCCAACGTATCAGTCTTCTTTTGTTAGGGAATTTTCTAGGTCTAAAAGGGGTTTGGTGTATAGCTGGGCATATTGACTGATGAAGATGCCTGAAGATTTTAATGCAGAATTAGAATTTTCATCATTAAGCTACCGGAAAATTTCATATGACTGCACGGTAGGGTACTTCCTGACTGCTGGTCTTTTTCTATCCATTCTTGTAGTGAACACTGGAAGAACAGTATTGTCTTTGCTCTCACATTCTTTGGCTATGCAGTTCTAGTTTGGTGCTCTGGTGGAGACAAAGTTTCCAAAGAAAGAGTAGAAAATAAATGGTGTTTATGGAAACAGAAGGGTAATTAATTTTTAGCTTGACCTCTCAATGCACTGACATTGTATGTAAATTAGGACTGAAATGGCGGTGGCTCTCTACAATATGCAAAATGTTAGGTTTCTCGGGAACCAGCTGAAATGCAAATGAGTGAGACAGCCATGTTGCAACCTGCATTCACTTGGAGAACCACTGTGGAGGGGTGTCACTCTGAAACTGTCAAAACTGATGCTGGAATTTAACCACATTTTCTGTACAGAGTGGGACTGAAATGCTCTTCCATTGCTCTCCTCATCCCTTGCTTCTCATAATGTAATGAGAAATTAAGACTGTTTGACTGTAGTTTTTTAAACATATAGAAATGTTTTCTAGTAAATGTTTGGTCGCAGTGCTACGACTTACTTGAATTAGAAACTTACAATATCAATGTGATCCCGTGAGAAAATGGACAGTGAAATGAACAGACAGTTCTCAGAAGTACAAATGCCCAATGCATACAAGAAAACATGTTCAACATCTCTGGCCATTACAGAAACGAAAATTAAAATAACACTGAGATTCCATCTTACTCTGGAAAGAATGGATCTCATCAAGGAGTCAAATAATAACAAATGCTAGTGGGGCTGGGGAGAACAAGCAACGCTTCTGCATTGTTGGTGGGAGTACAAACTAACCCAAGTACTGTGGAAATCAGTATGGAGATTCCTCAAAAAACTAGAAATAGAAATTCTATTTGACTTAGCTCTTCCCTTTCTAGGTTTCTTCCAGAAAGAGTTAAAGACCCTGTATTACACTGATACATGCATATTCATGCTTATTACAGCACAGTTCATGATAGATGAAACTCGGAAGTGGCCTATATGTCTATCAATAGATGGATGGATACAAAAAAAAAATTATACAAAATGGAGTACTACTATGCTATAAAGAAGAGTAAATTTGGATTATTTGCAGATAGATGGGTGCAACTTGAGACCACAGTGTTAAGTGAAATACATCAGATATACAAGTTTAAAATATCACAAGATTTCTCTTATATGTGAAACCTACAGTAAAAATAAAGACCAAAGGTAGATTGTGGAGGACCACCTGGACAATTCTCCTCGAAAGAAGAGCAATTGTCTCCATTTTGGCTAAACTTGACCCTATTCCCATGTTTTGATATGTACAGAGCTGGCTAGGACTTTTCCTTATCCCTTCAATTGGCTTTAAGCAATGCAAAGCAGTCCAGCTGAGGTGCTTGATGTGTAGTCTTTGAAGCAAAGACAACAGGGCAGCTTTTCCCTGCCCCCTGTAGCTCCCAAATAAAGCATGTGTGAGTCAAGGTGGGATGGAGAGCCATGCTCTGCGCTGCCATCTGGGATCGAGCCTCAAGGTAAGTGGCTGTGACTTCCCTGGGCTTGAGAGGTTACACATCAGAGCTGAAGCACTGACCCCAAAACACTAGATACTACCTCAATTGTGTTATGCAGATGACTCTTTCTGCATATCCTTCTCTCTGCATATTGCAGGGGTGATTTCAGGCCTCCTGCCTAACCCAGCTCACAGCACTCATGAACTTCCCCCTGTTCTCACAGTCACTCATCCTCAAGCCACCCTCTCCTTCAAGGATTAATAAAACCCAGGTTCAGCACTGGATGGAGGCCTTTGTCCCAGAGAGCCATCATCATAGCTGGACTTAGGACCCCTTAGCTCTCCATAACTACAAATAGGCCTTAGTGTCTTTATTCTCACCATGGGTTGCACTGAAAGTGGTGGATTGGAATTAACTCACTAGAATTCCAATAACTTTTCCATGGGATTACAAAGGTAAACTTCCTGGGCCACAATGGGGACTGGGATGGGCTCTCTATAATAGATAAAAGGATGCAGGGAGACAGATCTTTTGAAAATGGATAGGGGACCAAGGAATGCAGGGGAGGGGGGATAAGAAGAGGATATAAAAGAATTAGGATGTGTTCTGTACATGTACGACTGCCCACAATGAGCGTATCACTATGTATTATGAACATGCAGTAATGAAAATAAATTAAAAATAAAATATCCCTGTGAATGTTTTTCTAGAAATGTGAATGAAAACTTCTTTCTGCCAGCTTTTGACTATAAGATGAACATTTAAAAAGAACAAATTTACTGAAGCATTTCTAACTGATTTTTCTATTTCAGGGTGCCCCAGGCAGATGATTTTTCACGGTCCATCATAATGTGGAATAGATATTTCACCTCTTGCCTCCTGCTTTTGCTGCCTTATATTAGCCCAGTGGTACATGGACAAAGAAGGAAAGGATCAAAGCCAAACTCACTTGCAAGGAAAACTGACTTCCAGGGTAAGAAATGTTGTGTTGTAGTTCTTATGTATTAGTTTTTAATCCTGTTAAAATATTGGTATGTTTTGTCATTTCTAAATGGCACTTCATCTTAGCCAAAAGGCTGAGAAACAGTAGTATTTGATGCAAATAGCAACCCATTTATATCCATACTTGTGATGCTCTACCCTGATATAATTAATACACCTTCCATTTTAGGAACACATCAGAAATTTTAGAGCACTTGGGAATTTTTTATATATATATATTTTGTTCTTTTTTTGCAACAGAGTCTTGCTATGCAGTTCAGGCTGGTCTTGAGCTCACTTTGAAGCCCAGGCTGGTCTCGAACTCCCAATGATCCTCCTGCCTCAGCCTCCCCATTGCTGGGATTACAGGCATGTGCCACCACGCCCAGCTATTGTTTGAGCCTCACTTGTAAAACAGGCAGGTCTAATACTGCCACTCTCACAGAAAAGTAAATTAAAGTTTAGAGAGGTTAAGTGGCACATTTAAGGCCATAGGCAAATTACTAAGAAACAGTGCTAGGATTCAAACTTAAATTCTCTGTTTTCAAAATAATTTTCTTTTTTGGGGCATAATACTGTACAGTCATTTTCCCTTTTGATTTTAATAAAGTTAAAAACAACAACAGCAATAAGATAAAGTGGGGACCCAGTAATATGAATATAACGTGAGAGTTAGAGCATTGTTTGTTTAGTTCGAGACAACTTTGCTTCGAATCTGTTGAATTCTTAAAATGTGATAGTCTCTTTTCCTCTCACTTTAAGTGGTTTTAACATTGATAAAATGCTGAGAAATATGATACTTTGTTGATTTGTTTGCTTGATCTGCATGATTCTACAAGGGGTAAAGATGTCTTAGACTTGGAAAGAGATTTAGTTCTTTTACCTGTTAAGCCTCATCTCCGAGGTAATCGCTCATCATTCAGGGTGTCTGGAATACTCAACACATAGATCTCTCAATAACAAACACCACACAGTACATCAGATCAGGACCCTCTTTGTACAGTGTCTACCCATGAGCAGAGACCGTTGTGTTGTCTAAACTTTTTGTTTCATTTCAGACTCCATTTGCTTCATAGATGTTGTCTTCATTGTGGACAGCTCTGAAAGTTCCAAAATTCTTCTGTATGATAAGCAGAAAGATTTTGTGGATCGCCTGAGTGACAAAATTTTCCAGTTGATCCCAGGTCGCTCCTTGAAATATGACATCAAATTGGCAGCCCTTCAGTTTAGCAGCTCTGTCCAGATTGATCCACCTTTTTCTGCTTGGAAAGACCTGCAGACGTTTAAGCAGAGGGTCAAGTCCATGAATTTAATTGGGCAAGGTACCTTCTCTTATTATGCCATCTCTAATGCCACCAGGCTACTTAAGCGAGAAGGGCGTAAAGATGGTGTGAAAGTAGTTTTGCTGATGACAGATGGCATTGATCATCCCAAGAACCCAGATGCTCAAAGTATATCTGAAGATGCTAGAATTTCAGGAGTATCATTCATCACGATCGGACTTTCCACGGTAGTCAACGAAGCTAAACTTCGTTTGATAGCTGGGGATTCACCCAGTGAACCCATCCTACTCCTGAGTGATCCAACCCTTGTAGATAAAATTCGGGATCGCCTGGTAGGTACCTAACAGCTGGTTTTGTGTTTCTCATCACGATATTGATATTTTGGTAATAAATTCTAGAAGGATAGATACTGAGCTAAAAGATAAACAAAATAGGGTTCTCTCTCTCTTTTTTTTTGGTACCGATAATCAAACTTAGGACCTTGTGCTTGCCAGGCAGGCACTTGTGCCACTGAGCTGTATTCCCAACAGGATTCTCTTTGAAAATAGAAAATAAAAATTTCTGAAGTCTCTCTCTACTTCCTTGATAGTTTATACCATATGAAGAGCCCTTCCCAGTCCTCGCTGTGGCCCAGGAAAAGTTATTGGAATTCTAGCGAGTTAATTCCAATCTACCACTTCCAGTGCAACCCATGACGGGAATAAAGACAATAAGGCCTATTTGTAGTTATGGGGAGCCAAGGGCTCCTAAGTCCAGCCGTAGTGATGGTCATCTGGAGCAATAGCCTCAACCCAAAGCTGAACCCAGGTTTTATTCATTCATGAGGAAGGGAGGGGCTTGTGGATGAGTGACTGTGAGAACCATGGGAAGTAGGTGAGTGCCATGAGCTGGGCTAGGTAGGAGGCCTGAAATCACCTCTGCAAATGCAGACAGAAGGATGTGCAAAAAGAGTAATCTGCATAACACAATTGAGATACACGTATCTAATGTTTTGGGGTCGGTGCTTCAGCTCTGATGTGTAATGTTTGAAGCTCCAGGAAGTTATAGCCTGTATCCCAAGGCTCGATCCCAGCCGACAGCGTGGAATATTGGCTCACACCTCCAGCCTTATCCTGGCTAACCCATTGGAACAACAGGGGGTCAGAGAAACACACCTGCCATCTCCAAAGATTACCATCAGCACCTTGGCTAGACTGATATGCATTGCTTAAAGCCAATTGAAGGGGTAAAGAAAAGTCCCAGCCAGCTCTGTACACATCAATACATGGAAATAGGGTCAGGCTCAGCCAAAATGGAGGCAGTTGCTGCTCTTTCAAGGAGAGTCGCCTAGGTGGTCCTCCACAATACCAAATACGCTGGGGAAACATGGGGCTCATTTCTTGACATAATATTCTGAAGTTTATTGTTGTTAATTCTGAGGATTTCAGAAGGATTACTTTGTAATCATACCTCATAAACACTGCTGACTTGTGGTCAACTTCTGGTCTGCTATTTTTTAACTAAGTTTGTCTCTTCCTATTCCACATCCATAGAAATATTTTTTACTTTCTTGTCTCACCTATTGCTGCATTGCACGACTTAAGCAAAATCCACAAACTACTATTTTTAGAAGTTATCTCCCTGTTTCTCAGAGGTTATCAAGCCCATCCAATTTAAAATCACCTACAACATTAAGTCAACCAACAATTTCTCCCATCAGATCAACAAATCCCACTTGACTGGTCTGGTTAGCTTTGTCAGTGCTTTTTGGTATTGGTTGCTCAGCTATATGTGAGAGCCTGTCCTTGATGCCTTGGAAAACACAAAGGAAAGCAATAAAAAAAAGAAATCCCTCCTCACTACATTTCTCAAGGAGAACACTAGAGATAAATTGGTTGATTTGTGAAGTGTTAAAAATTGATTTTCTTAAAAATACTGATTTCTTTGATTTCCCGAGAAAAAGGCAAGAACACATTTGTCCTATAGATACTTAGCATTTCACAGGGATATTTCCATTTGTTGCAAAGAAAATTTAGGCCCTATTCCAAAGATTGTTTTGATCCTTTTTTCCCTTCCCAAATTCTTTTCTCAGCTCATATCTTTTTAGTATTAGCTATTTTTAGCATAAAACCTCAATTTTTCCTACCTAAATAGTATCATGCATTCAGGTGGTTTCCATGTATTAGGCATCACCGAGCACTTTGCATTTTTTTATGTCATGCGTATTTGCCACGGGGGTATAGTGCAACAATTATTACTATTATTCCGTTTTATAGATAATCATTTAAGGCTCACCAAGACCTCAGACCTTGTGCGCTCAGCCCTGTGAAAGTATATTCAGAGAGGAATAGTAACATTTTCTAAGGTTTCCTCAATCAGAATTGCCCTAAACAGTTAAACAACATCTCACTTCCAAAGTTACTATTATTTCTGCGCTTTTCTCCTCTGTGCTTGAGGGTACATAGGGGAGTTCTGCCTGTCCTTACACAGAGATAAGGAACCCAGCCCTGCGGTGCTTGGCTAGGGAATATAGCTCAGCGGCACAAGAGCCTGCCTGGCAAGCACAAGGTCCTGAGTTCGATTCCTGGTACCAAAAAAAAAAAAAAAAAAAATTAAAGCAAAAGGTTTGAGCATGTGTAGAAGAGAATGCTGAGGGTCTGAGCACGAGTGGCCTGGTGACTCTGTGTGTGAGAAGAGCTTATTGTAACAGATGCAGGGCAGCCAGCTCCTTGTTTGGCCAGATGTGCAGACTCAGGATGTTCCTACTCCCCCTAGACTTCCTCTCATGGAGAGCTCCTGCCCAGTGGGGGAGAGAGGCTCTTGGCAGAAGGCTGAATGTAGAACTATTTTGTTTCTGGGGAAACCAGAAAATGACCAGCAGCAGTGCTTTTCCGTAGCATCCTGTGTTTGTTCAGATGGAAGTCCAGTGAATAATCCTCTTCTTAAATGGAAGTTCTGCTTCCAAAGCACTTCCAAGGTCTACAGTGCTCCTTAGGCTCTTCAAGGAATGATACCCCAAGTTCAGTATTCTAAACAGCAACCATCCACGAAGCAGAACTTAATTCCTGATCGGGTCACTGGAAAAATTCATCACCTGTTTCTAGTATATCTTTAGTTGATTTTTTAACCTTTTATTTTGGAGCTATTATGGAATCAGCTTTCAAAAATTTTAGTGAGGTATAATTTAAGTGTAAAACTGGATCTACTGAACGTGCACAATTCTATGATTGTTGACTGATGTAAATATTTATGATACCAGATACCTTCAACACAATTAGAAAGCAAAGCATTCCCATGACCCCCGAATGTCACCTCATGCCTCTGGGTAGTACACATCTTCCTTTCTCCTGAGCTACTGATATGACTTTTGTCACTCTAGATTGGTGTACATTATGTAGACTTTTATGTCAGTAAATTTGAAGAGTGTGTGTCAGGCTTCTTTTACCCAACGTAAGGATTTTGAAATTAATCTTCATTGTCCTATAGATCCATAATGTGTGTATTGCTTTTTATTATAGAGGAGAATCTAGTTGAAATTAATAGACATGATTGTCTAAAATAATAGATTATTCAGGAGCCAAGATAAATCACGATATCACTCTTTTACCTCTCTAGTTTGAAGTATCATGTAAGAACCTCATGAAAGCATTTCCATCCTGAATTACCCAGGAGACACAAAAATTCTAAATGAAGGGAATGTGCAAAATATTTTTACTATTAGTTTACTATGATTTGTGTAGCAGTATTGAAACATCAGCAGCGAATTCAACCCAATGTCTCAGATGTATTACTCGGTCCTTTAGAAAAGTAAGAGAGAATTTGTGAAAATTAAAATAAAAACCTTTCCTCTATTACCTTTAATGTAATTATTTGAATAGCCTTTATGGGAGTAAACCTTGTGACAAATTAGTCTCTTCCTCTGAAGATTTTAAGGAAAAATATAAATTTATGGTATTACCCCAAGTACGTCAGGAATTACTTTGGTAATGTCTTTATCATCTGTACAGCCATATGTTTTATTTATTAACTATACTGCCCTTCTCATTTTTTAAGGCTTCTTTTAGATCCTTATGTTTGTTCTCTTTCTCAATTATATATATCGGTAGTTTTGCTACTATATTAAGCTGCCAGGGCTTTGTTTTCCGGTCAGGGAATGTGTTATCATTGCCCACTAAGTCCTTTACTCTCATCCTATTTGCTATGGTGCTCATCACTTCATCCCTTTCTCATATTTTTCAATATTTCTCCTGGCATTGACCTTATACTCTTTCACAAATCTGACAGTTCCACTCTATCCTTCTCCACTGACATATATAGAACCATAAACATGTGAATCTTTTGATAAAATGCACCTTCCGCTTTACTGATGGCCTTTCTCTACATGTGCTCTGCCTTGAAACTCCATAATCCAAGTAGACCATAACTGAATGAGCGTTTCCCTCTAACTTGGACCGTGGGCTCCCAGCTGTTGTCCTGACAGCCTGACTCTCTGCCTACAGGGAGGCCCTCACTACTTCCCAAGGCATCCAGCTCAGTCCACGTGGGGCCTTCTGTCTACTCGTGTCCCTCCTCACTGATTCCTTTGTCTTTTTGCCCACACTAGTCTTTATGGCTCTTTTCCTCATCAACTTTGACATATAGAGTAGCATACCATCAATGAGTTGGCCCTTTGCAAACCATCCAGAAATCCCACCTATTCCAAGAAACGAGCTTGTTACTGAATGCCCCATCCCTAGCCCAGGACCTCCTTCCTGCGCTGCTCTGTGTTGTCCTCTGTCCCTGGGGCTTATAGACTGTAAGTACCCTTAGGGATGGGTCTTTATTCTTTGTGTGAAACAGTCTTATCCATTGTGTAGCTTTGGGTCCATTTTTCTTTCCATAGAAATAGAAATTGCAGCAAACACAAAAGCAGCAAAAGCAAATGCGTTTCAAAGATAGTTATTTGGGTTGTGGTTTTAAACCCTATGGCACATATTTTTAAAGAGCAAATGAAGCAAAGAGAAAATTTAATTTTTAAGAGAAAAGCTGAAAAAAATATAAACTTACATAAAAGACAAAGCAAAAGATAAATGAATGAATTTAAAAATGGATAAGGGCATTGCTTATTGTAAAAATGTTATAAAGTGACAAAACTTGGAATTTTAAAAATTTTCAGTGATTGTTTTCAAACATTATAATTTCACTTGAATTATCAGAGTCCCCACCCCCCCTTTTTTTTTGGTACCAGGAATTGAACTCAGGACCTTGCACTTACCAGGCTGCTGGGCTTGTGCTGCTGAGCTACATCCCTGGCCCTTTATCAGAGTTTTTAAAATGGCCTCCTCTGGGCTCCTTTTGAGTTTCTTTTTATGTTCTCTCTGCTTATGGTAAAAATGCTTCTGATATGTGTTTTAAATATTTTCAGAATTCCTATTATATTGTACATATCCACCCGCCACTTGCTTTTCTACTCAAAGTGTTTAAAAATTCATCTCTGTTGAATTACATAGATCCACGCATTTACTTTAGCTGTAGAATAGTATCTCATTTATTGATCCATTGCACAATTGATGGATGTTTTAATAGTTTTGAATTTTTTACTATTAATAGGTCTTGTACTCTGAGCACTTTAAAGATAATGATATACAGAATACTAACTACTGTTACTCTCTTATTATTTAGTTATGAAATTTTGCTTTATTTTTTTCATAAAAAATGCATCAAAAGTTCACACTGAGATAAACTTATTTACAGGGGAAAAAACAATGAATGTTGAGATGTACAAGTGCAAGAATATCTCTAGGAGGGCTGGGCGTGGTAGCACACGCCTGTAATCCCAGCACTCGGGAGGCTGAGGCAGGAGGATCATTCCGAGTCCGAGGCCAGCCTGGGCTACAAAGTGAGCTCAAGGCCAGCCTGAACTGCATAGTGAGACCCTGTCTCAAAAAGATAAAACAAAACAAAACAAAAACAAAACAAAAAAGAAAAAACAAAGAAAGAATATCTCTAGAGTTTATCGGGAAGGGACAGATGAATACAGATGAAAACAAGAATTGTCCTGGCAGCCTAGAGATAAGACAAGCACACTGTAAGCATTGCAGGCAGCACTGAGCATTGCGTACATGGGTGGGGCAGTGTTACACTGGGACCTCCATGTATCTGAGTTCCCATTTCTTCATAGGACCTACTAGCTCTTAAAGATTCAAATATCTCATCTGTTTCCAGCCTGGATTTATATGGCAAGGAATTTAAAAGCATATTGGAGAGGTGGTAGATGAGACTTGAGATTTTATAGATAGCACCTGTGGCCAGAGTTTTATAGCTCCTGAGAAGATGGGGTCAAAATTTCCCCTTTTTATACAGTATAAGGGAAAAATTACCTGGACTTGACCAAATGCACATGGCTTATTAATGGTTGAAATGGGATGGAGACCCAGGATGACACTTACTTCCTAGTCTAATTTTCTTCCATGAAATCACTGGAATCACTTACAACTTTTTTGCTTTTTTGCTGCTTTGTTTTTAATTTGCATGTAAGTATAGACAAAGCAAAAAGCTAAACTGAAAGGATAAGGCTCTTCCATACAGATGCACACTCTGATTTCTCTCTGACTTCCTTATAATTTTAAATATCTTATAGCAAATATTCTAGTGCTTTTCTCCTTTCGATTTCTGTTTTACCGAATGTAAGCTACCTGTGAGTTCAATCATTAAGTTCCTGCCTTAGGAGAGGACTAATCCCATCTGTCAGCATTGGTTAATTTCCTTCTCATGATGTCTTCCCACACAGTGTTCAGTGCATTTGCCAGCAATAATGGTACTGAACTGCAGGACCTAGGGAGGCCTAGGTGCTGGACAAAGATTATGATATTTCTATAAAATTGTACACTTACAAGAATTTTGAAAAATATTCAAAATTTTGAAAACATTCTGGTTAATCCATTCCTGTGCAGGTGAGTATGACATGGCCCTATAAACTGTCAGGAGGCTCTCCCCAAATGTATGACCTCATTCAAGTCATCCTTGTGGCTCCAATTCTGTTGCCTTATTATAAAATGAGAGGGGCTGGGGATTTAGCTCAGCGGCACAGTGCCTGCCTGGCAAGCATGAGGTCGTGAGTTCAATTCCCGGTACTGGAAAAAAAAAATTAAAAACAAAAATAAAGTGAGAGATTGGACCTGATCAACTTCTCAGGCTATAAACGTGATAAAATATCTTTAGTGTATGTTATATATGTGTATATTTCATAATGATCATTTTTTACTATGAAAGATTTTATTTTTTCATTTAGATTTTCCTTCTGAGGTAGCAAGTTATAAATATATGTCTTCTGTTACATAATGCAAATTGCTACACACAGCTCAAATTTTCTATAAAATATTATTCTTAATATTGTTTAAATTTATTTTGGGTACTGGGAATCAAACTCAGGGCCTTAGGCTTGCCAGGCAGGGGCGTGATGCTGAGCTAAATCCCTGGGAATATTGTTAAAATTAAAAAACTGAGTTTGTTTCCTATGTCAAACTTTTATAAATACAGTATTATATTTGAGGCTCTTAAGATTTTTAAGGAGAAAACTTCCTCCTGGTGATTCTAGTAATGGAAATCTTTGTCTTTCCATAACATGGATCATCTAAAGAATGCCACCAGGCTTTCTAGTTTTCACTTTTTGAGATTTAATACAATTAGTAAGGTTCAGGGCTGGGGTTTTAGCTCAGTGGCAAAGCACCTGCCCGGCAAGCACAAGGTCGTGAGTTCAATTCCTGGTACTGGAAGAAAAGACAAAAAAAAAAAAAAAAAAAACCCAAACAATTATTAAGGTTCACTACTATTTCATGGAATTATGACTCTAGAATTAATGTTTTACATTTTGTTTTGGTACCGGGAATCAAACTCAGGACCTTGCGCTTGCCAAGCAGGGCCTTATGCCGCTGAGCTATATCCCCGGCCCTAGAATTAATGTTTTAAAGTTAAAAATAAATAGAAATAATAGAAGAAAAGGAAAGACACAATTATGTATTCTGCCTCAGTCTTTGCAAAGTGAGAACTTCTCATTATGACGGGGTAAGCTTGTAGCTAAATTATGGAGATTACAGAGCTGCTAAAGAAACAACAAAAGATAAAATAGGATGAATAGGGTAAGATTCCTAGAGAACAGGAGTTATTTTTAATGTTAGTGCCCCTCAGGTGTCCTGTTATTCCACGGTTGAGAGTGCTCCTGGAGTGGCTGACTGGTAGGCTTTACTGCTTTTACAAGGTTGAAAGACTGAATTGCTATTCTTCTTGGAATTGCATATCCCATAGGGAATAATTAAGACTAATAAGAAACTAGAGGCAGAACCATTCATTGAGTTAATGTTTCATTGTTTTTTCTCTTGTAGGATATCTTGTTTGAAAAGAAGGTAAGCACTACCTGTGTTAACTGCACAGAATTACTCTAAAAGCTTGTATTATCAAGTCAGCATTATAATTCATGTTAGAAGATAAATAAAAATGCTTAATTCCTTTTAATATGAGCTGCTCTGTTTTGAGGCAGACATCTTTTTTTTTTTTTTTTTTAATGCTACCTTCTCCACTGCAGGTTGGAAAATTGAGAAAATGCAGGGACTATTTAATGATTCAGGAGGTGATTTTAGAAATTCAGTGATAACCAAATGGCATAGCTTTTGCTTACTTTGATATGGCTTCCTTTATTCGACGCATAACTTTGACACTAGCTTCTTTTGGAAGGTTTCTACTTTAGGAAGCCTTTGTGGTGTTGGTCTCAATTAGGCTGGTGTTAAAAGACAAAGCTTAGAATCGCCCCTTGCTGCATACTATGGAGGTTCACTTTAAGCTCATTCTTTTGAAGGAAAGGAAGCCTAAGGGTAGCAGCCGGAGCACAAGGCAAAGAAGCTAGCCAACAGTAATCAGATAGGACTTCTGATCACGAATTTGCCAAGAATTTCTAAGCTAGGCAGGCATTTCTTAAAGCAAAGAGTTTCAAATATCTGAACCTTGTTCAACAAGCTGCTTTTTAAACATCAGGACATTTACAAGCATTATTCTATAAAATAATACAAACCAACCCAGCCTTGTCAATCATCAGGTTACCTGAGTTGTACATGGCCAGTTGCACCATTACTTTATGTACCATCAAGAAAGGAAAAATCCTTGCCAATTAAACTATGATACAAACACTTTCTCATTTATTGTAATTTTTATTTCACACATATGGAAAAAATATCCCTTGACATTTATTTATTTATTTTTTTGGAGTTTAGAGTAATTTTTATTCACTCTAACAACAGAGGCTGTTCTAAGCAGAGAGCTTCTCCTTTTTTCTTTTTTTGGACTGAGAATTGAACTCACAGCCTCATGCTTGCTAGATGGGTGCTATGCCGCTGAGCTATATATCCCTGGCCCTGTACATTTATTTAATTATAGAGTTTTTTATATCTGGATTCCTTTAGTGCATACATATAAGTGCAAAGATCAGCAGAAAAAAGTGGTTATTTCTAAAACTTCCCATCAGGGTCTAATTTTTTTTTTTTTGCATCACTTTTTGTGTGAGTTGATAATAGCCTTGCTTTCCCACAAAATACACTGGCCCCTGCACCACTAAAAACATGTAATTCAGCATTTGTTAAGAGTGCTTGGGGATTTTCTTCCATTTTATTCTGTGCTGAAGTATGTGCATAGGAAACAATGACTTTGACATGTTTGGTGTTGTTAGACAGCTATTAGAAGACTTGTTCTGATTTCAGGGATGTTAGGATGAAAAATATTCATTTTACTTTGGATAAAATATAGTATAGGTCAAATATTTTATTTTTCCAAGTAAAGGGGAATTTAATAATGTTATATTTTTGAGCTTTGATATGTTAGAAAAGAAAGTAGAAATTCCAAAGTCCACTAAAAGTATTTTCTATTTTAACTGATTTCTCTCTCTCTCTCTCTCTCTATATATATATATGTATATACACACACACACACACACACACACACACACATGTTTTAGTATAAATCTATTTCATTTAACTATGGCAAAATTTAATAATACTTCAGTAACTGGCTGTTACTAAGCTGAGTCTGTCTGGAATAATTTCATAGAGACAGCAAAATCTCCATATACTTCCAAGGTGAATTCTTTCCCAGGGTTCCAGTTAGTTATACGCTGGATAAAATTTGAACTGCTACCCTGTACCGTGTGTCTCTGTATGTTAACACTGTGTTTCCTTATTGATTCAGTGTGAACGCAAGATTTGTGAATGTGTGAAGGGAGATCCAGGTGATCCAGGGCCTCCTGTGAGTACATCATTACTCAGAACTTATAGCTGAGGAAGGCAAAGGTAAAACAATGATAGAGTTGTTTTCCGGAAAGGCTTTTCAGTGTCATTCCTTACTTGATAATTGGGGCCAGAATTTCTCAAAACCAAAAGAGAAGGCGAAGTCGTCAATGTTTTAGGCAAAGCTTTATCCTGTTAGCGACAAGAGATGCAGTTCTCCTTGGGGAGCTACACCATGCGGCTACATGCAGAGGAGCCTGAGGAAGGCACTGTCGGGGGAAGGTGGGATCTGCGAAATGGAAGTACTCTCTTGGTAGCCCAAGACAGTGACAGGATTTACTGTGATGATTTGGTATTCAGTAAGATCATCCCCAAAGGAGTTCTTCCTTTACATTCTGGCCTAGTATCTGCTAGGTACTAAGCTTATAGTTAGAAGTACCTGAAATGACACTCGGACTACTATAGATTCTGAACATCTCTCTGACAGATATGATGAGAAAGCACCCAGCTACTCATTCGGTATTTCATTTACTGGTGTGATTCCAAACCTTAACCATGGAGTTCACAAGCTTGGGGGTGATGTTTCGCAAAATGTGTAGTTAAAATTTTTTGAACTAATGTTTATATTTGGAGACAGGGAGGGGAATGCACACTGTGAATGTTTTCAAATACAACACATTTTATGTTGGGACTTCAGTCCAAAGCCTGTATTTTTTCAAAGCACTCTACTAAGCAAGGCATTAAAGAGTGAGGGAAGGTTGTCTTTTTTCCCCCTCAAAATAAAAAAATGAGGTGAATCAAATGATATTATGGCAGCCAATAGATTTGACATTGGCTAAAGCAAAGATTTGACCTTCCCTTCCTGTTAAGTTTTAGTTTATACTTAATACACCAAGAGATTGCCAGGAGAAGAGCTAGCCAATTACTTTTTAAAACAAAGAGTGACAATAAGAAAGATTGCAATTACTGAGTTAAACTCATGCTTTCAATCATTCAATATTGTCGTGACTCTATAAACTATAGAGCTGGTACTCGATGTGTGTTGAGTGCCCCTAAAAGCAGTTCTCAGAAAAGCAAGCTTTTTGGTAGCTTGAGAATAGGAGAACAAAACGCTTTTTCTAGAACAGGATTGGAGGGCTCCCATCTTCCGTGTTTAGAGGGTGTTCTCTGGATGTCAGAACCTCTCTCACTTACAGTGGGCAAACTGGCTGGGTCCTTTTAAAAGGGATGAAGCCTGTAGGAGGAGCTGTAGTCAGTGGTCCAAAACGAAGTAAGGGTAGGAGCCACTGCCATCTTCCTACCTGTCTGGTCATTCTTTTGAATCTTGGTGTGAGTTTGATGTTGTTTGCAAAACGTTTGAACAGTAACTGTTTGCAGGGAAGCAATAATTATTGGGAAGAGACATCCTCTTTTAACAAACATGGTAAATCTATCTATTCAAGACAGTACAGTTTTCCTAGTGTTATAAAAGGGTGAGAAGAATTTAATGTCTGCTTGATGGGTCAAGGTTTTGTATACTATTCCTTCAATTTGTGGGATGTAGCTAATCAAAAATTATTATAAAATATAGAAAACTAATAGAATAGTTGCTCAAGAATTGGTTGCTCCTAATTTTTTTGCCCTTTGCCTTTAGGGTACACACGGAAACCCAGGTATTAAAGGTGAACGAGGACCAAAAGGAAACCAGGTAAATGAATAAACAGTTTTGCTTTAAGCTAATACAGCGTCTAGATTTATTCAGATAATAAAAATTAAGAAAATAAAATATTGTGGTATATGGCAAGAATCTGATGATTTTTGTGAAGAATACAATATGTTCAGGTCCTATATTATCTGTCTTGTCTTCGTTAATTTGTTTTCACAGATTCTGAGTAACTTTAATATTTTAGTCAGGAAGTTTAGGAAACTGAGGGACAATGAATTCATGGAAACTCTCACTTAAATAACAGTGGTGCAAATCAGTTTAGGACAGTTTTTGACAAACCACTAAATCACGTGCCATATCAGGTTGGTATTGGTACTTGTGTTTTTGATGGATCCACTTTATAGATAATTGACCTACAATAATAATAGAAAAAACACCAGGTGATTTCCCAGTCTTAGAAGATCTTCCCCAACTATTTTCTTTGTATACCTATAAAAAAAAAATCACAGATTTAAAAAAGTTACCTCGTCAGACCTTTGGGATAATAGCATTCAAATTTAAGAAAGACTGAAGGAATCACAGGGAGAGAGGTTAGTAGATACAACTATGAGAAAATCAAGCATAGAATTCTGTATAATAAAAATAACTAAAATGAGAAAGTCATATATGGGGTTATTTGTATCAAATACAATGGAGATTGAGTTAATTCCTGCGATGCATAAAAACCATACAAAACTGATGAGAAAATATCAAGCTACTAGTAATTAAATGGGCAAAGGACATGAATAACTTTCAAAGGAGGAAATGAAACAAGTAAAGACAGAAATAGAAAAACATTTAAGGGGCTGGGGATTTAGCTCAGTGGCACAGTGCCTGCCTGGCAAGTGTGAGGTCATGAGTTTGATTTCTGGTACCAGAAGAAAAAAAAAAAAAGAAAAAACATTTAATTTTCTTAGGTAATGAAAGAAATTCCAATTTAAATAGACATAATAAGATACCCTTTAATACTAAGCATTTACTTTCTAGAGACTTTGGAATCCAGTGGATTTTTTTTTTTTTTAAAGAAGTAGCTTTCTAGTTTAAATGGTTTGTTTTTGTGAATTTTGAATGTTTAAAAAGCTTCTTTTCTTATAGCAATTAACATGGGAATTTAAAACAGTACTAACCAAAAAACCCAGTAATAACTAGTATGGTGATATAATAGTGAAACTGATTTGCTCTTTATTTCAAAGGTAACTTGACAAAAACATTTTTGGAAAGCAGCTGTAGGCAACATACAGTAGAGCCATTCAAATACTTGAGACTTTAATCCAATCCTGTATTTCTGAGAATATAATGAAAAGAATATAATGAAACATGTTATAATGCATGAAGAAGGTAATGGATGGGGACAGTAAAGAAAAATGTTATATGCATGAAAGCATTTTTTTTTTTTCTGCAATTGTCTGCTTGCTAGGGAAATGTTTAGTCTTCTTGGGTCACTCTACCACACACGCACAAACACACACACACTCAGCTCTATATTCACTCACTCATCCTATGTAGATCTAAATTGAAGTCATCATCCTTTTTATTGTGTTAAGTACCTGTTTATTAGTCAATGTGCACATATCATTTATTTGGTTTGTCATTTTGTGCCCCGTGATTTATTTTCCTAAGTCTTGCTGAACTCTAGCAATCATCCTGGAGGACATTTTGGAAAACATTCCCAAGTCTTTTGGAGAAAAGCCAGGGTGTCTGGCTCCAAGCAAATACAATGCTATATTTGAGAAAAACAACCACGTGATTAAACTAAGATGTGGGCTAAGCTGTAAAAATATACCTGGATTCTGCACTCTGTACATCTGGCTTTACTCTGAAAGGGCAAAGTTTATCTGCTGCTATTTATTTTCTAGATTGCATGGAGAAAATGTCAATGCTAAAGGCTTCAGAGGATTCCCTAATTGGGTTACCCTATCAATCTGGGACTTCTGAGGAACACATTTTATTGAGTGATCAGTCACTCTGCAGGGCTGCGGAATTTTGACTGAGTTTGTTGTTTGTGGCAGGGTGACACTCAAAAAGGAGAACCTGGAGAAAGAGGTCCTGGGGTATGTATACAACTGGAGCGCGCTCCTGAGACAGGGCTCCTAGATGGCTTCGAGTCCGCGATGGACCACTGTGACCCCTGCAGTGCGAGGGAAAAATGATTTCTATCTACTGGTCTCTTGGTGACTTGGACAGGCCATCAGACAGATATAGATACGATCTTAGAGGTGGAAATACGGGTAGAAAGTGTCCTCAGGAGGGATGATGGTGATACAAGTGAAAGAAACTCCCAACCTGCTAGTTTTCTGTTCTCTAAAATCGAAGAATGAATTTTAGGAACAATGGAGGTTAAGAGCAGGATATATTTATTGAGAGAAAAATAGCTTCCGTCTGAGAGAAAGACAGAAAGGGGCCTGCGTGGGTTGCCAAGGAACCTGCCTTTTCTAGGGATTTTTATACAGCAAATCCACAAGGTGAGGCGGGACCAAGGTGGGGAAAATGGGAACTCACAAGGTGGGCATGGGGTGGGACAAAACTATGGTCAACCAATGAGACTACGAGTATGATTGCTCAGGTAAAATTGATTAAATCGGGATCAAATGGGGAAGTGAGTCACGTAGCAAGTGGCCATGAATACAGAACAGGGTTTTGTGTAGGGGGTTGGGGTAGTGGCTCTTCCTGGCTTTCTCAAGGTGATTGATACCTATTTAGAATATCAATCCCTGATGTCCATCCCTAGTGAGGTGTGTAGGTGCATTTGTTTAATCTTTTGTCTTGACCTCTGGCCTAGGGCAGAAGTGCCCGTCTCTGCTGCAGTTGCAAGGTATCTCATGTCCCACACTGGCTCCTTTGCGGGCCCAGCCCTGTCTGACTGCCTGTAATATTTCTGTCTAACTCAGCTGCCCTCAACAATGGGACCAAGGGTATTCAAGCCCATGGGATTCTCTGATGCTTCACTGGGCATTTATGAAAGGTTCAAAGGACAAAAGCATTTATTTCTGATTTTTTTTTTTTTTCATGATAAAGAATACGTTAGAATTCAGGAACAAAAGAACTGTGTTGTCTAAACCTTGCTTTTGTGATTTCAGTTTCTCAGGCAAAATAGCATTTGTCTCTAGTTGAATTTTTTGTCCCCCAAATTAGAAATTAGCAGAGATTCCTTGAGAAATAGGTAGAATACATTTCTTATTTTGCATTTTCCTGGGCATTGAAGTAAGAGTAGTAATAAAAGTATATAGTGAATAAAAAGGAGGCCATGTATATTCTGCCTTTCCACTTGTTGCTTTGGATACAAAGGGTGAACTCAGACCCAGAGATTTTTCAATACTGTTCTCTTGGTGTTTTCAATTAACTTTGTGGAAGAATCTGCTAGAAGTTTTGATAGTGTCAGTAGGAATTTGTTCAGAATTATTTTTGGGGAAACCATTTCTCAGATGGGCGCGGGATATAGCTCAGTGGCACCGTGCCTGCCTTCCAAGCACAAGGTTCTGAGTTAGATTCCTAGTACCAAAAAAGAAAAATTGCAAAAAAAGAAAAGATTTCTTAGATATTTCTACATACAACTCATCCTTGTAAGTAAAAAAGAAACTAAAACAAAAGACTTATATTTCTAAAAAAGTTTCCTTCTCCTAGGAGAGATAAGGTAGTCTAAATAGCTACAGTTTGAAGTGGAATATTAAAATAATGTAAAAAGGAGAGGTGCAATGTCCTGCGTTGCAGGCACTGGGGGAGGCTGGAGTTATGCAGGCAGGTTTTACGGGATATACCCTGAAGAGGTAGGGTCCCAACAGGCAAGGAGGGAGCAGGAAGGGGAAAAGCTAGGTCCTGCTGCTGGAGAGGATGTCAGGAGCCTCCGCCTGATGGAAACACTGGTTGAGAAAAGGTGAAACAAGGGGCTGCTCTCAGACCTACATGAAGGGTGGGTTGGGACAGACTGAATACCCATTGCTAGCTGCAGGGTCTGGGTTTTGCTAGGGGATGGCAAACCGCTGAAAGTTTAGATGAGGCTTGGGAAGGCTACCCTGGGAAACTACTGTAGAGAAGAAATTAGTGTGGGGACAAAGGAAGACAGTAGTATTTAGAAGAAGCGCATTGTTGTGGTTGATGTGAGAGGCACTGAGGACACTGGCTAGATCTGCTCGAGCCAGTATGAAAGCCACTGGCCACAGGTGGCTCCTGGGTACGTGGCACAAGACAGGTCTGAGGTGAAGCATGTTGTAGGAATAAAATACACATCAAATTTTGAAAGTTAGTACACAAAATATCGTGTCATTGATAATTTTTCTATTGATTAAATGTGGAGATGATAGTATTTTGAACCCATTGGGATAAATAAAATAAATTAAAAAATTAATTCACCTGCATATTTTGGCCCTTTTAAATGTGACTGTTAGAGCATTTAATATTACATATTTGGTGTGCAGGTGTGTTTCATGTTAGGACACTGAAGAACACTGAGCTACAGGAGAGGCAACATAAAGAGAAAACATGGTGAGAATCCAGGAAGAGGCAGAAATGATGGCATATGGTGACAAACTGGAACCCATCCGATCAAAAATATCCAGTGAATGCTTGCTGTATGTTAGCCACTCCTGTAGGTGCTGAGCAGACAAGGTTAGGCGAGACAGTCTGTCTGAGGAAACACTCAGGGAGGGACAAAAATAGGCAACATAGAAAGATAATTTCATGCACTGGGAAGTGTTACGGAAACAGAAAATCAAGTAGTGCAGTGTCCTAGGAAGGAGGAACAAATACAATGGCCTGAAGGGGCAATGAAGCCGGGTGAGATGGCAGGCACCTGTCATCCCAGGTACATGGGAGGCTGAGGCAGAATTGCTTGAGTCCAAGAATGGCATGGGCAACACAGCAAGACCCTGTCTATGGAAAAGAAAGACAAGATCGCTAGGATCTGTTAGTGGAGGGTGGTAAGGACAAGGCCGTAGAGATAGGTAAGGGCCAGATAGGATGTGAGGGGCTAGAATCAGAAGAGTGAATTTCAGACCAGGTACAAAGGGAAGCTGTTGGAGAATTTTAAATAGGTGAGAGTAAAGGGTTATAATGGTAAGTAAAGGAGAGAGAAAATTAGGATGATTATAAAATTTGATGCTGGGATTCGAACTGTGTCATTATCATTACTAGAAATAGGGAAGTCAGAGACAAACCTAGCAGAAACTAGTGAGTGCAGTCTTGAACATTTTAAAACTAGGAATTAGGATGCCTTGAAAAGAAGATCTAAGAAAAGGAGTTGGAAGAGCTGGTATGGCCATCAAACAATAAGACTACTGGGGATTTCACAGTGAATATGGGGAAAAATAATATTAAAAAGCAATACTCCTTTACTACTGTAGAGCCGTATTGTCTAATTTCAAAATACAGTCTCAACTTTTAATATAAAGCAGAACTGTGTGTATGGTTGTGTGTTATAATACATAAGAGTGCCCCAAGATCCCTGAAATTAAAAAGTCAGGGTCTTTTGGCACTATAGACATGAGTGATCTTAAAATTTTTTTTATTAGTGTATGTTTATGATACATAATAGTTATATTCACATTGGCAAATTGATTCATAGATGTAACATATTGCGATGGTTTTCAATCTCTTTAGACATGAGTGGTCTTAATAGAGAATCCTAACAACTGTTAATAATATAGCTTTTAATTTTAGGCACAATGCTAAAAGTTAATCAATTTGAATATACATTTTTAAACTGGATTAAATTGTAGTGTGATCATAGGTTTGACTAATTGTATTTTTTTTGACTAATTGTATTTTTATGTGCCTCAGCGATCACTTATTTGAAGAGCTATTATTTCCTTTATGAAGGTTCCTTTTGTTAAAAAAAAAAAGTCACAGGACAAAAGTTCTGAATCAGGTACAGTGGTAGTAATAGCTTGTCACCAGCTTGCTTTAAATATGACTTATAGTTCTGTTTTCATTCTTGAAGAATACAGTTGTAGGAAAAAGACATGAAATCTCATTTGGAAAACCTTGCTATGGTTTCGAGTTGGTAATTTCTCAGTGCATTTGCTATTCAGTATGTGTTAGTGAAGGGCTTTTGGGTAGTGGCACAATGGATAAGGCTATGCAGGATGTCTAGGACTGACCCAGAAGACACCAGACTTGCTGGCTCCTTATTTAGCATAGCTCCTTATTTAGAAGACAGCAGAAGACAGTAGCTTAAAGATCACTGTCATTGGGGTCGATAGAGGAACCATTTATTTCCTTGACCTTGTGTATTCTAGATCGAATTTGAAAGGAGAACAATAATGGGTAGAGATACTTATGTACATTCTCAAGGCCATTAATCTCAGCTCATTTTCAGAGCCAATTTCTCTAACAATTTCTGTGAAACATTTGCAACTGCAATAGTTTATAGTTTAAAAATCAATATAGTGTAACAATTTTGAAATGACCGTTGTGAATGGTCATTTCTATAACAGCATTCAGTGTACATTTTCTTCAGTCTGTGACTCAAAGGTAAGAAGCTATTTGAGAAAAATATTTGGAGCTGAGAACAGAATATAATAGAGAGATGGGTTCTTTTCTTCTTAGTAAGTGCACATTCCCCCTGCAGAAAGAACAGTAAAATGATTACCTTCATCTGGTCTTACTTTGTATGGATATTTTTTGTTATACCTTATCTGTGAAAAAATCTACTACTTCCTTTAATTCCGTTGTATAATGTATTTTAATTTTTCATTTATTTTCTTTCTTAATTAGGGACTTCCTGGGTACAAGGGCGACAAGGTAAGTTGATCAAAATGAATAAACCAGAATTTCAGAAAGAAAAACAGAGAAACAGCATACTTATGTATTAATCAATAAATGTTCTTTCCTTTTATTTTTGCAAGTCCAGATTCCTTCACTCTTCTACTCTTAATACTGTTGACTCTTAATTCTGTTAACTTTTATACTCTTAACTCTGTAAACATAAAATCATATGTAATAGAACCAAAGATTTAGGTATGTGTTGTCACGGGTAGAGAGTGCCCTAAGATTTCTGAGATTAGAACCCAACCTCATTCAGTTCTGCAAGCATGAATTCTTTTAATAGAGAACTCCACCATGCACCACAGATATCCAGATGAGAAATTTCTGTAAGTAATCCATTGCTGAAAACCTGCAAGTAGGTTGCTCTATGAGTGTTTGACTTTCTAGGAAAACCTAGATACCAAAACCTTTCCCTGGGGAAAGAGAGGATTTATCCAGGTTAAGCAGGAAGCATCTGACCTCAATGAGCCAGCATGGGAAGAGCTTGCAGAGGGAGGAACCAAGAGGTGTAGGATTGTAGATGATATTATAATTATTTGCAAATTACAGATTAGGAAATCTGCTGGGTGTGGTGGTGCACACTTGTAATCCCTGCACTTGGGAAGGTTGCCACAAGTTCAAGGCTAGTTTGGGGTACTAGTGAGTTCAAGGCAAATCTGAATGACTTATCAAGACCCTGTCTCAAGAACAAAAATGAAACAACAACAACAAAAAACAAAAACAAAAAGCCGATAACTAAAAAACACTGCCCCACCCTGAAAACAAAACAAAATGTTAGGAAATCAATCTGCCTAAAAAGAAATCAACAAATTGGGTTGGGGCTCAGGAACCTGTTGAATGCTCAGTAGTTTACTGATAGATCTACCCCCCAGTGGCACTAGCAGATTTTATGTTAGCAATGTGCCTAGCAGCCTTTCTATTGTACAGCTGGCATAGCCCTCAGACCTGGACAAAGAGCCTGCACTTTTAGATGCTCTTGCTCTGGTGTCATCTGGCCTCCCCACTGCCTCTGAAGCCAGGAGACAACAAGGTGAGAGGACTGTGCCCTTTTCTAGATCATATTTTGGGTAATGGAGACCTCAGAAGTCAAGCAGAAAGAGCCGAGCCTGTTTGGCATGTATACAGACACCTCTTTTCCACATCCGTCTCCTTCCAAGGCCTAAGAGGGACCCAAGTGATGGTTCAGGTTGTGCTGCTAAGGCATCTTCATATTCATAGCTACTCCTGCCTCAGGAAGAAGTGGCCATGGGAAGTGAAAGACTGCAGTGCAGACATGGGGCTGCATGGACTGCTGAGGAGTCCCCAGACTCTTTATCTCTTTATTCCTTTTCAAGGTATATTTGTCAAAAAAGGAAGCTAGAGCTTCATAAATTTATCAATTAGTTTTAAAAATTTCAACTAGATGCATGATAGTAGGACTCCCTTTGCAGTCTTTGTACCTGGACCCTGAAAATAGTAGGAGTGAACATGTATACAGGCCAATAAATGTACCCCATGCACAGGAAATGTCAGGCCCCAAGTGCAGGAGTGCAAGGAATCACAGGATTCTCTACTCACCATCTGGCAGGCTTGGACTCAAGAACACAGAGTGTTGCTTTCTTCATTCAGGTGGAACTGGATTAATATGGAATTGTCTAATTTACAAGGTGGTTGGAAAATCAAATGGAATATCAAGTACAATAGTGTATTGTAACCTGATTGCTCATCTATAAATGTAAGGTTCTATCATTAAGAGATAAGGAACAAATACTAATATAGGAAAGTGAGAAACTTTTTTGCAACTACAAAATTGCCCTTTATACAGTTGAGAATATTATGGATGTTTTTCATCTTGACTTACAAAATAAGCTAATTATCAACAATAGGAAAATATTTATATATTTGAAAAGGTTCATTCAACCTTTTGAAAAATTATAGGCTTACTGAAAGAATCCCTACTTGGAAAATAGAAGCTTTCAGAGCAAAGTGACCCCAAATGTTCAACATTCAAATTAGAATGTCACCAGGAGGAGCAACACCAGAGGTCTGAGGCTGGGAACAGAGCTAATCTGTTCATAGCTTTGTGAAGCATTTGCTTTCTAGAACTATGTAACTGTGCCATTTCACAGGGATTAATGAGCCACCAAAAGAGAGAACGCCTTTGCTGAGATAAACAACTTGAATACAATATTTTCATTGATAGAAATCTGCCCCCAAAACAAATGCTGTTCCTCTGGACCCTATAGCTAACAAATCTTTCTGGACAAATGGAACGGGAATTCTGGCCAAAAGAATTTTGAGCGTATTTATGGTACTTTTCTGTTTTATATTTTGGTGGGTTGACTCATTTTGTTCCCATCCAACATTAGTAAATTAATTGCTTTGTAATTGAGGGTTCAAGAATGGTTTTCATTTGCATCCAGAAATAAATGCTCAAGTTGTTCTAAGTGAAAACTCAGTTTTTCCTGGGTCAGTTTGACTTACAGAATGGGGTGGAGAAGAAGAGAGAGAAAGAGAGAGAGAACAGATTACTTTTGAACAATAGCTAGCTCTAAGAATTTTAGGCATAGCTAGCTCTAAGAATTGAAACATTCTCCTGCTTCTGATGTGAACAAGAGCTTTGGCTTATCCCAGGGAGAAGTGTCAGGTCCATGGAAAGTAAGTTACAGCTTGGTGCAGTGTGGCTGGTTCAGTTATGGGTGACTGATCACACGAACTTGAAAGTCTAACAGGCTCAAGTTCATGGTCATGGGCAAGTAATGTCATCTCTCTGAGTTTCATTATATATACATGGAATATATCTCTATCTAAATCTCTATCTATCTATCTATCTTGCCAGGTTGTTGAGGTTAGCAATCATAATCATGTTAAGACTCTGGCTCATGCTTTGCACTCATACTTGGTGATTATAGTTGTTGTTCTCTTCCTTAGAACAGTTCTACTCAAAGTGTAGTTTGTATGCTTGCTGTCAGTCTATTACCGGTTGTTATTTTTCAATGAGGTGAAGCTTGCACCAGAATATAAATCTACCTTGTTACTAAATACACTGTTGAATTCAGCTAACATTTGTTTTTCATGGCACAAGTTCCTCAATGAAGGAAGCAATGCGTTGAATTACATTGTGGTGCAATTTCTCTGTGTCAGTAGATACATCACACTGAATAATACGTCCTAGAGCAGCACATAGGTCATAAAACAGCAGCAGAAGTAGAAATTACCAGTGAAGGCCCTGGACTAGCAGCCACTGGTATAATGTAAATGCAAATAAATCATTTAATCTCTCCAGGGGAGTTCCCTTTATTAACAATAAGAATTATTTAAGGTTCAGAGTAAAATCATATACGTGGAATTATTTTGAAAATGCTAAAGTATTTTATAAATGAGAGATAATATGATTATAAAACTTCACTCATTTTTCTGATTGGCTATTAAATTTTAGTTCTGACTACCAGAAGTGGTCTTAAAAGCCTGACATAATGGATGAGTATTCAGAAATCCCAATACTCATTCTGCTTGAGTGAAAGACTTAATTTTTTAAAAAATATTTATCTATTTAAAAATGTCAATGGGCAAATTTGTATAATTTATCATGTACAACATGACATTTTAAAATTTGTATGCCTTGTGAGATAGTTAAATTAACACACATTATCTCACATAGCTATCATGTTTGTGGTGAGAACAATTAAAATCTTTTTTAATGATTTTTGAGAATGGAAGACACTGTTATTAAGTATGGTTGCTACGCTGTGCAATTGGTTTCTTGAATTTACTGCTCCTTTTTATTTTTTATTTTTTTTGGTACCGGGAATTGAACTCAGGACCTTACACTTGCCAGGCAGGTGCTTATGCTGTTGAGCTGTACCCCTGGCCCAAACTTACTGCTCCTAACCTAAATTTTATATCTTTAGCTACATCTCCCCAACCTGTTATTCATCATAATCACCATTCCACTCTGCTTCTGTGAGCTCAACTTTTTTAGATACCACATAAAAGTGAAATTACACTGTACCTTTCTTTCTGCATTTGGCTTATTTCACTTAACATGTTTGCCAAGTTTGTCTGGGTTCTCACAATGATAAGATTTTCTTTTTACAGACTAATATTCCATAATGTATACATTGACTTTTTTGAATCACAAATTTTCATTGTGTAAAATTGAGTTGATAGTATCTATTTCGGATGGTTAATGTTAAATAGTGTCTGTAAAATATCACTCATAAGCTCTGAAACATAGTTTTTTTTTCTCTTTTTTTGAGGGGGTATCAGGAATTGAACTCAGAACCTCACACTTGCCAGGCTAAACCCCAGGCCCCATGAGGTGTAGTTCTAATGTTAACTTTTAGTGATAATCGAGAGAAGACAGCGCTGTAAGAGTGTGACTGACAGAAGAGAGTGTGTAACATGCTCACCGCTCACGCAGACCTTGCCCGCCCAGCGCCTCACCCTTCTGAAGCTGCAAGAACCTGGTCTCAGAAGCATCCTCCCATGCTTCTCTGGGAAACTCCACTGACTGATGAAGATTGATACTTAGGCTGCAGCATGGTGCTGTATTACAGTATTAAGAGTTTCCATCTTGATCCTGCTGCTTATTACCTGGGCGATTGCAAGGAGTTACCGCAGTGAGCTTTGATTTTCTCAAGGATTGTCAAACTGACTTCTTCGGGTCGTAATGTGGATTCAATTAGATCCCATATGCAGAAAGACCACTTAATATGTGGCAGATGCTCCGTTTTCCCTCTCATTTCACCCATCTCTTGAAAATGTCAAACCTCATTAGGTGGCACCAGGGACCTGATCCTGTCACGTGAAGGATGAGTCGTGAGCGAAAACTTACAGCCTTCCAGTGCCCATCCCACTGCAGTACTGAGCGTCAAACTGTGTAGAAATTGTGTGATGTGCTGGGGTCACAAGGTTTTGCTGGGAACCGTTCAACAAAACCTTAATATGGAATGACAGGGAATGTCCTCTTATTTATTTTGTTTTATTTTATTTTATGTTTGTTTTTTTTAGGGCGAACAAGGAGAATGTGGTAAACCAGGAATAAAAGGTGACAAAGTAAGGAATGAACATGATTTTTAAATGCTAACAGCTGTGCTTCTTTGGGGCCAAGTTTCCTTAAAAGGAAATTCCTTAGATGAATTATGTAGCTCTGATCACTAGAGTTCCAGCATCCACAGCTCAATTTTCACATCTGTAAAACATGTAGCTAGTGGAGCCCCCAGATGCCTTTCTGCTGGCCGTCCAAACCTTTAAGGCCAGTTCTAGTGAACCTTATGGTGGAAAGATGAATTTACCAGCCTAGTCTATTTACACTCCAACTGGGTCCTAATGGATCTAAACACTGAAATCAAGCATTTTCCAAAGCAGAGCAAAGAGCTCTGTGAGTTAGTGAAATAGAAATATTGTGGCAGAACTAGACACTGGGAGGGACTGGAAAGTTTGAAAATGCAGCTAGACACAGACAACGGATGGGTAATTATATTTAGTAAAAATGTAAGTAAGAAAACTGGATGCAGTGGTGCATGTCTATAATCTCAGCACTAAGGGAGGCTGAGGAAGGAGGATTGCAAAGACGTATCCACCCAGGGTAGCTTAGTGAGATCCTGTGACAAAATAAAAAGTAAAAAGGGCTGAAAATGTTTTGATCCCCAATATTGAAAAAATATGGGTAGAGGCACATAGATATATAGAGAACTTAAACAGGAGATAATATTCAGTATGTTACAGTTGTGTAATAGACTAAAAGTATATAGCGAGTACATCTAAAAACATAATGATAAGAGGTCCAAAATAGTACAGACTAAACATCAATAGTTTTCATCATAGTTAAGAACTGTTGCTGACAGGCCACCAAGATACTGAACTTTTATAATATCTATATTATAATTATGGGAGGAAGCCAGGGAGAAAATGAGGCAGAAGATTAAAAGATAAGGACAGGATAATGACGCTGACCCATGGAACTAAACGCTTTAGATACCTTGAGACTTTCTGGAAGTTTTTAACTGCTGTTGTGTTAAAGGTAAGGTAAATCTGTCAAGTGTAGGCGTGGTGATTCTCTCTGGGCAGAATGAAACTGGATTCGTGGATGGGTTCTTTCTAGAGATGATGGAAAATGGGAGATGGACATGGGAACTTGGAGATACGGCAGAGGGATATGGAACAGAAATGACATGCAAGTAAGACTTGGGAAAATGTGAATTCAAAGTAGTTAACAAAAATATATCTCCTTAACTAAGATGCCATATATTAATAAATGTTCCATTATTTTCTGTGCCAAAAGAATACTGCTGATTATAAATATGAGATGTGATTGATTCTAAAACATATCCCATTGTCAGAGATATAAAAGTATGAAAAAAATCTGTCTTAGCATCAGTGAAATGTAGTGTCCGTGATATGTTCATAAGAAGAATGTAGGGCCGGGGATATAGCTCAGCAGCATAGCACTTGCCTGGCAAGCACGAGGTTCTGAGTTCAATTTCTGGTACAAAAATAGAAAAGAAAAATACATACAGACTATGAAGAGACATAGCAGAGGAAATATAAATGGTTTATAAATTAGAAAAAATATCCAAGGGGCTGGGGATTTAGCTCAGTGGCACAGTGCCTGCCTGGCAAGTGCGAGGTCGTGAGTTCGATTCCTGGTACTGGAAAAAAAACAAAACAAAAAAATATATATCCAAACATAGTAGCAATCAGAAGACTGAAATTAAGACGGAAAAATATTGCTTTGTATATCGGATTAGCAGCCACTGAAGTAGTATTCGGTCCTCAGAATTGATGGGGATTCCTTCAGCTGAAGATGCAGTCTTTCCTGTTCAGGCAGGACATATTCAGAGGACTGATAACAAACTTTGTGCAGGAAGTTCTGTTTCCAGGTGTGCCATGAGAAGCAAGGTATGTTCATAGGGAGCTGTGAACATACTTGGAATCTCTGCCTCAGTCTTCTTCCAGGACGCTGTCCTCAGAGATGAGTCCAAAGTTGGCCAAAGATTTGTACACAAAGGATATTCATCACAATATTAATTAAAATAGATATTGCCAGAAATACTGTAATATTAGAAACTAGGAAAGTGAATAAATTATGATAGGTACCTCTTCTTGAATATTATCTTGAAAAAAGTAGAGGTCTGAAGAAGAGTAATTGGGCTACATGATAGTCCCATAAAATGAAGGGTTTCTCAACTATGGAACATAATGAAATATTTTCTATTAGAAGAGTGTTGAGTTTAAACAGGATTTTGCCAAGTTTCATGTCTTGAGGATTGTCAAAAGAATGACCTATAGATATCACGGAAACTCACTGAATTGTTAATTTATGGCATTGCCTATGGAAACAAATAATATGTTGCCAAACTTACGTCTTCTAAGAAATTTTATGAAGTAATTTTTTCACTCCGGTTGCAATGTTATTATAAAGGCCCCAAATGACGTGTAAAATTGGATGTTCAGAAAGTTTATCAAGGCAAAGCTTGACTCTGAAATCTCTTGTTAAGTAGGGTGATTTCAGTTTGTTGGCTTTGACGGTTGGATAACAGGAAAGAGGCTGCTCCCCAGGACACATTCCCTTCCCTCCCACCTAAACTCCTTGTAGCTGGGACGCGGCTACTGAGAGAGACTCACCACTCATTTTATTTTATAGGGAGCTCCAGGGCCAGATGGACCAAAGGGGCCCAGAGGACTTCAGGTAAAAAAGCTAAAACCAAGGCTAAGTTTGGATTACAGTCACTTGGGGAACGTTTATGAGCATCCCTTTCTCCACTTATATCCTCTAGCAATTCAATCGGGATGTCTGAGAATTGAAGCCAGGCACCAATATCGTATAAAGTTCTTAGAGATTTCCAATGTGCAGTATGGCTTGGAGACCACTTCCATAATGTTTGATTAACTCAGGCTCCCCAAAGATGGTTAGCAGCAGGCAAACCAGCTGAGAAAGTAGCTAAGGGGATAAAAGATTAGTCTGGGTAAGTGGAGAAAGTTAAAATAGTTAAGGGCAGGATGTAATTAGTTTTGCATTGCTGCCTGTAATATAATTGGAAGAGCTCTGTGTCTGATCTAAATTAGAATATTTAGGTTCTGCCACTATACATGGTTACTACTCTGTAATATGGGACAATTCTTTAAGGCACTTATTTAACTTAAATATATGCCACAGATTTCGGAAAATAAGTTGTATATTTGCTGCCAAAGCAAGCGTGTGATTTCAGAAAATGATTTTAGTCATTTTTTTCCAGGCTGAGCCTTATTTTTTCTAAAGTTACAGTGGTTGTGTATAGGTGGAAAGAGCGACTTTCTGCGTTTTAACAACCTGCTGAAAACTTTACCTGTCCTATTCCTAGACAGCATTTAGTTAACTTCAACCTTTAGGCTTTGGCCTGGAATTGTCAGAGTGAGGCCCTAACTCTGGCTGTGACAGTTTCATTGGAAGCTGTAACTTTCAGTTATATGCCTCAGGTGCTAAAAGGATAAAATGTTCTTGAACAGGCAAAATCTTTTTAGTTTTTGGTGCTAGGAATTGAACTCAGGACCGGCCACTTGCCAGGCAAGGTGCTTGTGCTGCTGAGTGCAAAATCTTTTTTAAAAGGTCCCAACCCAGGGGTAAGGGTTGGAAATACAGGTTTAGAAAACAAACACCTCATTAATAAAATGTTTGCAGTCAGCATACTTGCTGTTTTATTTATTTTTAAAATTAATTTTATTGGTACATATTACCAATGATGACCACATTCAGCAGAGGGAATTTGTACCTGTACATGATATATCTTGACTCTTCTTTTTTTCCCATTTCTTTCCTCTCTCTTCAAGCCCTCTTCCTCTCCTTATTTACAAAAGCTTTTTTCCATTTTTCCTTATATTCTCTTTTTTTCCTTTTCCCTTTTTGTCCTTCCCCATTCCCCCTGCCTACTTCCTCTTCCCATTTGAACATTTTCTTTCTATTTCACAATATCTATTTTACATTTTGGCCCTTATTTACATTTTTGATTTCTCACACCAGAGAAACCATGCAGTATTTGAACATGTGTGTCTGATTTATTTCACTTAAGAGTATGGTCTCAAGTATATCCATTACCTAGAAATGTGTCCAGTTTATCCCTCTTTATGGCAGAGTAGAACTCCATTGTATAATAAAAAACACATCTTCTTTATCCATTCATCCATTGATGGGTATTTGGGTTGTTTTCAAGATTTAGCTATTACAAATTGTGCTGCTATAAACATGGGTGCACATATATTTCTATGGTATAATGGTTTTAATTCTTTTGGGAAGACACCAAGAAAGGGAATGGCTGAGTCAAATGGAACCTCTAGTTTTAGCTTTTTGAAGAATCTCCAGACTGATTTCCACAGTGGTTGCACCAGTCTACCCTCCCACCAGCAGTGGAGTAGATTCCTTTTCCCCCCCACAGCCTCACCACGACTTAGGAATCAATTTAACAAAGGAAGTAGATACTGTTACATTTAAAACTACAATACTCTGAGAAAGGAGATGGAAGAGGATATCAGAAAATGGAAAGATATTCCTTGTTCTTGGGTAGGAAGAACCAATATAGTGAAAGTGGCCACACTTTCAAAATTTAATACAATCTTGATCAAAATACCCATAGTATGCCTCACAGAATTAGAGAAAACAATCCTAAAATTTATTTGGAATCAGAAGAGGTCTATAGAACAGCAAAAGCAACTCTGGGCAACAAAGGTAAGGCAGGGGGCATCACAATCCCTGACTTGAAATTATATTAAAAAGCCACCGTGGTAAAATAGCATGGTGCTGTTAAAAAAGCAGACCCAAGATTCAACAGAACAGACTACAAAATGCAGAAACAACTCCAAATATATTCAGGTGCCTAGTCTTTGACAAAGGGGCCAAACACCTTCAATGGGAGATTTAATAAATGATGTTGGAAAACTGGCCTTCTATAAGCCAAATACTAAAACTAGACTCACATCTCTCACCATGCACCAAGCTAAAATTGAAATGGATCAAAGACCTAAATATTAAAGCAGAAATACTAAATCTACTGGAAGACAGAATAAGTAGAACTGTTGAAGACCTACGTATAGATAATTGTTATTTCAGATACTGTTTATTTAATTCAAGAAATTTTGACATTAAGTTTTCCATCTGAATGTGATCGCAATAGAGCTCTGAGCCATACAGCCTGGTTTCTAACTCCAGGATCTGAGGAACCCTAAAGAACGATTTGTTATTGGTTAGTGTTTTGTGCGCAGAACTAATTCTTTGTTTTCATCTGGGAACAGGGCATTAGTGGACCTCCAGGGGATCCGGGCCCAAAAGGATTTCAAGGCAATAAGGTAAACTTACCCACTGGTTAAAGATAAGAGTTTCTTTCCCCTAGTGCATTATGCTAATACATGTTCTTATTAGGCTGAAGTCAATGGACTCTCAAGGAAATAAGTTTGCAAATACTGAATAACCTGGAGGTGAATATACAGAACCCAGTTCAAGATTATGCAGGAAGTCATTGACATAGCTTTATCATTTATTCGTTCATTATTCAAGAGTGTGTTGTTAAAGATAAGCCATGATCTAGAATTGCAACTGTTTCTTCCTTACTTATGACCTTTCATCATTTCATGGCTTAGTAGCAACTGAAAAACTGTACCAGTTAACACTTTGAACCCCTCTGTGTCTCACACGTAAGGCCATTACGATGTATAGTTTATTGGGGAATGAAATTTAGAGCTGTTATACCAGCAGAAATCAAGCAATTTTGACCATCAGTAGCAGGCTTGTAATGTCACCCCACTGATAATCCGGCAAAACAGATAGGGAGAGTGGAATAAAAAGTTAAATAGAACGAACTGCAAACATGTACTAATAAAAATAGAAATTTGATTTTAAAAAGACCTGTTTATAAAAAGAATTCCTTTCCCAAGAGAAGGACCATTGATTTTCTAGAAGCCATCTTTTTAACTCTTCTCATTGCTTAGTAAATTTCATAAACGTAGTAAATATCCAATAAAGAGTACTGACTCAGAGACTGGTGTTGTGAGCAATGTGAGGCAGTTATTAACTGCAGGAGCCGCCGTCCTCCACTGATCCTAGGTAAAGCCAATCTTTTAAGAGTGGTATTAAATTTAAATTGTAGGGAGCAACTGGGTTACTTGAGTGTTAATTTTCCACAGGGAGGAAAGGGAGTGACACGTATGTATTTTTAATGAGATAATGACAGTTTGAGATTTCCCAGGCCACTTTTAATTGGCAAATTAAAATAGAATAGGCTTCTCAGTGGGAGCATGCTTAAGCTTCATCTGAGGAAGCTGCCTTTCCCTGCCTTTGCCTATGATTAATTCTGTCTGGGAGAAAGAAATGGCCCTGTTGAATACTGAGTAAAGGTTTTCAGAAAATCGCACCAGCTATAGGTAAGACCCTGAAGCAAGAAAGAAGTTATTTGCATAGTACATGCACATTTCCAGAATTCATTTCTTAGTAACACGATAATTTTAGGCTTAAAGTTAGGGATCAGGGCAGGAGATGGTATCAGTGATAAAATTATGGAATGTCTGAGTCATAAAGCACAGTATGTGAAAAATCATACTGGCCCAGCATTTGGAATAGAGAACTAACGCCTGGAAATGTAGCTTGCCTGAGGCAGAGGCCTGGGCAGGTTCCCATGGTTCCAGAGAAGGTCAGGAGGTGCTGGGCTAGGAGTGGAGTGGACGGCCTTGTGATCTGGCTGGAGCCGGGGGTCTGCCTGGGGACAGGTCCATGAAAAGCTGCCATCATGCAATCTCTTCTTTTTAGGTCTGATAGATTTGTCACTTAGATTAAGAAAAATTTATTTCAATAAAGTTTAGCTTTTAATTCCAACAGTGTATTATGAGTCAAGTGACTTTGGGGGGGTAGTAATAATTTTTCTGACGTAATAGTGCTTTGTGTTTTGACTATCACAGTATTCATAAAAGGAGCCATTTTTCCAAAAGTATTTGAGGGTTTCATCACTTTCCCAAGGGTATCTCTTTAAATTTTTTAATGATAAGTTAAAAATTTAATCATGGTAAAATATATGTAACATAAAATTGCTATTAAGGTTTTAATCAAAAAGTTTAACACTAAGTGAATATATAAAGTTCATTGCCAGTTAAAAAAAAAGTCAGATAAGTGATACATTGAGTTTTATTTTAAGACTATTACTGCTTTCTATATAATTTTTATTATTCATAGATTGTTAACCAGAGATGCATGACAATTGATTAATCGTTATTTATTTTTCATTTTGTCTATTTATGAGTGTATTGCCTTAAAGGTCAGGCTTCAGGCAATCATTTCATTTTGCCTCCCAAAATATATTCCTACATTCTCAAGATATCAACTATTCTGTTCCTCAGTCTGGAAATAATGTTATATTGGACAGTGACTTATTTCTTCTTTCTTTTCATCCACTATCATTTGATTACAAAGTGTTTTTAAGGAACTATTATTATAAATTATGCAAAAACATGCTAAAATCTAGTTACTCTGCATTTTCTAGTGGGCAGAGAGAGGATCATTTATTTTGAAACTTCTAAAATAATACTTCACACTTATTATATATTTTCAATGTTCAGTACAGTTCTAAACACTCATTTAATACCAGTACAAACTTTTGAGACACGAACTAATCTTATTGCCCTTTGTACAGCTCAGGCTACTAAGGCACAGAGAGCTGAAATAATGGGTCTGAATCTGTAGAGCTCATAAGGGACAGAACATGGATTCAAATCCAGAAGTCTGCTCTTAACAACCATATGCTATTGATTCCTTCGAAAAAATTGCTAAATTTCCTGACTATTTGACCTGAGATAAATGCATTTCTTTTGTACAGTGTGGAAACGGCATCTGTCTCCCCTTTTAGGATCTTCTGGCTGGAAATACTAAATAGTGCATTTTTATGTGATTATAATGTTCATCTGAAAGTTCAGGAAAAGAAGGATAAAAACCACTTGGGAATAAGAAAACAGTAATGCTAATTGTGCAGTTCAAGCGCTCTATTCCTTAGGAGACCTTAAAATAGAAATCTTAGGCTCCTAACATTTGCAAAGATTCCATGCGGGTTTCTAGATTGGGCTTGCTTGTGTTTTTGAGTTCATGAATGGTCTCTCTCATGATCTACAATCACTTTCTGTTGCTGGATTTTCTTCATCTAAGGTTTTTCCAGAAAAGGTGGTGGAAGAACAAAAGGAAAAAAAATAGCATGTGTTAAATCAAGGAAAAATGTGCTTCTGGCCCAGTTTCACAATCATTTCAGTCATTAATACTTTCCACATGTAAAGTAGCTCCTATTCTGCTGGGACTGCCCCTGTTACCTTAGCAACAAAACATAAATGTTTCTCAGAGGGAAGTCTTGGCTGAGAAGTCACCTTAGTCTCTTCCTCACATGACTGTCATCCATAAGAACTTCTCAGCAGTCTCTGAAATCAGGTAGAGCCGCAATCACACAAGCTCCTGAGGAGCCTCGTCCCTAGAACTGAGAAGGTAACTCAGGAGACACAGCTCCTCCGAACCCAACACGGCCACCTTCCATCGGGCTGTGGTGATACAGCAAACGGCAGTTACATGTGGCTGTGAAAGGGGCTTCTGATAACTAGAAAGAATGACTCAATATCGGTAGCCTTTCAAATCACAGAGGACAAGTTACCAAAATTAATTCTGAACAAATCAACAGTGGAACACAGGGTGGGCCGGAGCCGTATTAGGTCATCTGTACCATTTGTTGATGTCTTTCTGACGTTATTTCTAAGGATATTTTCTTCCCCAATGTGATGCACATCTGCTTTCTTTTTTTTCTTTCTTTTTTTTTTTTGGCTTTTGAGATAGGGTCTCGCTGTGCAGTTCAGGCCGGTCTTTAGCTCACTTTGTAGCCCAAGCTGGCCTCGAACTTGCAGCGATCCTCCTGCCACAGCCTCCCAAGTGCTGGGATTACAGGTGTGTGCCACCACACCAAGCCACATCTACTTTCTTGAAGACGGTCTTTCTGTTCCTGAGAGGAGGGACTGCACTGTGACTTGTCCAGGAGCAGCTTGTGACACTTTAGTGTCCTTGTATTGCAGCTCTAGAGGTAGGGTCAAAAGAGCAGGAGGAGACATCCCTGAGGTCTTTTCCCAAGGTGAAGTCCCACATGTCAGTCCTTAAACAATTTCAGAAATGCTGTGATATCATGTTATGTAGTAATTCATCTTCATAGATATACTGCCTCCCTGCCTCTACCTTGCATTGTTCATTCCAGGATGTGTGTGATACTCCCTGCAGCGTTTTTTTCTTAAGTGTTTTTTCTTGTTCTGTGTTTACACAAAGTCCTCTTACATATGAGATTGGGTCTCATTTTATGTCCCGTTTGGCTTCTGAGATGCTAAGAAGACCCATAGAAAGTAGGGAGGTGTTGTTAGGTCATGCAGGGATCAGAGGGAAGGGTTAGTAGTCAGGAATACTGGCCATTCTTGTAACATATTTAGATGATAAAGAGCAACAAGACAGTTGATATTAGATATTTCTTGTGCACTAAATAATCTAGTGTGTTATTTATACTTGCTCTTTCTTCTAAAAATGACATGTGGAACTTTATTTTAGTTTCAAATATATGACCTTGAATGTCATATTTTTTATAATATTAATATTTTCACTAGAACAGAAGAATCATGACTCAAGTTTTAATAGTTTTAAATATACTTTTGTTTTCATCATTATTTAGATACTTGGTTTGGCTTAAAGTTAGCTTAGTAGCTTAAGTAGATCAACCTATTAGTCAAACTTGGTATTTCCCATTGTGGTTTGAAAATAGTTCAAAACTACTTCCAAATATGAATAACTATAAAGAATTTAAAGCATTCTCTTCAAACAAGCATTTTATAGACTTATTTCAGCTCTCATACAACTCAAAACCTTAACAGTCTCTTAAAATCATGATGGTTCTTTCAACCACTTAAAAAGATCATGATTTGTAACAAGATATATAATTCCTTAGAACTTTTATGTAGAGTAAATCAGGAGAAACATATATATTACCTGTAATTCCTCATAAAGAATAATTGATCAAATAAAAAAGTTTTCAAATTTACAACTCTAAGGAAAATGATTATATTTTTAACTATATATAAAGAATTAAAAGAAAAACAGGGAACTTGAACAGGCTTTCTAGTTGTCAAGAAACAGAAATATACTTTCTGGATCTCCTAGCAGGCTAACAGCTTTGAACAAGGCTGTCAGTACACAGTGTATAAGAAGATTCCTTATGCAATTTTAATTATGAATATCTATTAAGTAAAGACTCATAGCCAAACTGTGTGAAATTTTTCCTTCAGACATGTCAGTCTAA